ACATCCTCCCTGTGAACAGGATTATGAGTCTCGACTGTGAACACTGCTAGCATCTCATTGAGATGATGAAGTTGACCTTAATTGCTTTGATTGAAACTAATTAGTGGGCTCTTGGTTTCGAAGAGCCTCATTGGCAACACCGTTTGATATGGGGGATGCTTAATTGCGAATGTGTAAAGAAGGGAGTTGCTTATTTGCATATGGTCGAGAATGTTTATTATTTGGGTATTCAAGTGAAATTATATTTTCGTTTATGTATAAACAGCAGTGATCTCTTGTAACCCCTGTGCTGAGAGCACAATGAGAAATGAATAGCAGCCTGCGGGGTTTGACAGGGAGAGGGGGATGAATGAATGAGTGGTTATGGGTTTGATGCCGTTTATGAGAAGCCAGTGACTATTTGTCATCGTCAGTCTCTCGTTAACCCACCGTCAGACACACACACCTCCCCCCACTGCCTTCTGAAGCACGAGCTGCCCTCAGGATATGGGGCCCGACCCTCACCCACACTATGTAAGCGTGTGTGTATACGCATCTCATTATGTATGCAGCGTGCAGTAAAATTGATAATGTTTCTCGGCACACAGAGCAATTACAGTTTTGTATAATTATTTCATTAATTTGTGAGTCAAGGTTTGGCCTGAGACCCCAGCAGGGGTCTGTCATCGCTCAACCTGCTGTTGGGAATGGGATACTTTCTGTCTCGGCTCACTTTCATACTTTTTTTTATCCCGTTTTCTGTTTCTTTATTGTGTAATTGTTAAAACTCGTTTCTTTATCCCTACATCTAAATATGTATAGTATCTATGAGTATACATATCACTACAGGGCTCGCAAAATTTCAAAATCCCTGGTAGCCCTTCGGGCAGGTACTCTTCAGATTTTGGTAGCCCGCAAATTAATTTAACTAGCCCAAATAAAAAAATACCTTTTTTTTTTTCAATATAGAAAATCAGATAGGAGTTTAAATGTCTTTAAAAGTTTTTATGGCCTTAAGTTTGATACAACTCACTTTAGGAGTTTTTAAGGACCCGCGGGAGATCTGCATTTAAGATAGCCGGTCGGGCAGATTGGTGATACATTTTGGTAGCCCGACTGGAAAACACAATAGCCCCGGGACGTCGGGCTAGTGATTTTGCGAGCCCTGCACTGTGTGTACTTAATGTATGGTATGTAAAAAGCAGTTTGTCAAGCAAATAGTATGTGACGTATGTGAGTTTATGCCCCATCTATTCTTTTATTCAAAAATGCATAAAAAATGCAGATAATGCATACAGTGAGTACGTCTTGACTTTTTGTAATTAAAATCCATTTTGATATTTTTTGAGGGCATAAAGTCACATATGTCAGTGTGATACACCTGGCCTGATATCATAATGAAGAAAAAAAGCCCCAATTTGTTTTGGCACAATTTTATTTTATTTATTTATTTACTTTTTTTTACAAAATGCATATTTTAACAAGCATTCTTATTAATATTTGCAAATCATTTTGTCTGACAAATCAAAATCATGTTGTCTACCTAACAAAATGGTGTGTTGCACCCAACATGCAAAACCTGTATGCACTCATGACTTTGTGTTAAAGTCAGTAAGTGTTTTAAAATATCCTAGTAAATTTGGATATTAATAAAAAATATTAATAAAATGTGACTTTTTATGACAAGGTTATTAACTAATTCATGCATTGAATTTATTTAATACACGAGTTTCACAATTTGAGTTGAATTACTGAAATAAATGAACTTTTCCACGACATTCTAATTTATTGAGATGCACCTGTATGTCATAAATTAGTTTGAACACTTTTGAAAGTGTACTCACATGTATTCAAGGAATAAGAAAAATACATTACATTTTACTTGGTTACAGCACTTGATTTTTAATGTCATTTAATTGGAACTTTTCTTGTTTTTCAGAAATGGATAGTACAAAGCGTAAATTAAAAAAAAAACTTGGCAAACGTGTTTTAATCTAGATTTTTTGGAAGAATTTTCCTTTTCTATATAATAGTATTCATCATTCTTATTTATCATTGATCCATGTCTGAATATGCAGTATTTATGTACTTTAGGTGAACAATTTCTGGATGACCAACTACATCTGCTGAGGTTCTCATGTGTCGGACCATAGTCTCCTCACTCCTCCACCTGTTTTGTCCTGATTGGCGGAAGGTGAAGCCGTCTCTGAGACAAGGACGAGAGGCGCTCTGTGTTTAAGTGTGCCGTCTGAGGAGGATGTGTCGGATTGCCATTGTTGCATTTCTTGGAAAGCCCCGTCTTGTACCCCCACCCCTCACCTCTTCACCTCACTCAAGGAAACGAAAAAAAAATAAACAGGCATGGATAATGGCACTCTTACAAACGATCTGTTCCTTCAGTCCCTGGTAGTGTGATTGTTCTTGACAGCAGTGTGTCTGTTCTTGATGATTAATGCCACAGCTGCACTGCTTTGTTTTAGACCCTGTAGGCATTGTTGTTTTCTGGGCATTAATTCCTTGCCTGTCTAAAATGAAGAAAAGGACACTACATTTTATATCGCCACATATTGGTGTAGTTACATGTTACACAACTTCATGTTTTTTAAATTTTCATCTCCTTCATTAGTGTCTTCTCCTGCTCATATAGCTTTCATCTTGCCATTAGACACCGCAGGCTGGCACAGAGCAGCGGCGCGGAAATGGCGCCTGGCATCTTGGCCCTGCTTACAGACCTTCCCAACAGCCTCTCAGATTCCTGCCATGACTGTGGTTTGTATTAATGCTCTCATCAACGAGTGATGACACACAGGAACTAGGGTTGTGATGGTGAGGAAATTTTCCCACCGGTTAATCGACGTGTGACAACACTGGTAATACCGGTATCACCCTTGGGGTGGGGGGTGGGGTTGTTAGTTCGTTTGAGTTTCCCTCTTTTCTTCGCTTTCAAATAGCTTGTAAAAGTGCCGTGCGCATTTTACTTTCACTTTCAAATTAGTGGCAATTCGGCGTTGATTCAATTCAAGCAACAACAACGTCAAACTCAGAACTTTTATTAACAAAACGAATAAAAATACACCATATATGCCTAATAAAATAACAAATTACTTAGGCTACACAAAGTTTAAATAGGTATATAAAGCTGAAAATCAGCAAACACTGTGGAACCAAATAAATAAGAAACAGAGAACGTTTATTAGCAAAACGAATAAGAACGCTTGGAGGCACGGCATATACACCTTGATGTAAAATAAAATATTTAAACTTTGTGTATTTTATTTAAAGTAATCAGCAAACACTGTGGAACCAAATAAATAAGAAACAAATGTTTAAAAAAACTCAAGGCTTTTCAAAATCGAAAATATTGCCAAACAGGCGCCTTTGCATTTCCTTTCTAAACAATCTTCCGCCATCGTCTTGTCTTTCTCACCTCACTCTTGCCAGTCAGCTCGACTCGCTCTCCTCACGATAAATAAAATCGGACTCCTGTCGTTCGCGCACGGTTCGGCACGCTGCATTGAGCGTTTAGTTTTTAAAAGTGTCTGTCCTCTAACTGAACTAGGCTAAATTATTTTTGTTACTATAAAAAAAATCAAAACGACGGTGGGGGGTGGTGCTGCGGTAGGCAAATGACGTTAACCGGTGTTGCAGCTTAACACCGGTATAACCGAAAACACCGTCTATCGCAACAAGCCTAACAGTTACCCATAGGAGTGCATGTAAGCAGTTTATTGTGAGGTTTATATATTGTCGGGACAGGTGCTTATGGACTTTTGTAATCATTTTGCACAATTTGGACAAACTGAAGCTGTCAGTTATGACCCTTGATATGGTAAAGTTGATAAATTTTAAAATCCATTGAAATCAATCAGTGAGGAAGGAGAACTTTTGCAGTGATGAAAATCTCACAGAGGTGGAATGCCTGTGCTTTTGGAAATTCAGTTCAGTTCCTGCTTTGTTTAAAATGGTTGCCTCTTTCTTTTTTTCGTCTTCAAAAAGTAATGTTCAGATTTATCTCTGTCAGATGCTTCCTTTGAGCAAATGTTTTTAGTGACAAGTTGTCTTAAGAAATTCCTCTGAATTTGCTTGGTTTAGGTTTTCCTGACCCTAATCAGTTGCATTTATTGTTTATGTAAGACATGTTCTCGTCTCGCGAAAAAGGCACAGATATTAATTGATTCTTCACATGTTGGATTGTTTGTCATGATTTCTGATTCAATTCTGATTTGCCATCACATTCACGGGCAACAGACATATTGTGATTAATTTCAATCCTCAACTGCTGCAAAACACATAAATAAGTATACACTACCATACAAAAATTTGGGGTCGAAAGTCTTTTGTGTTTACTGAGGCTGCATTTATTTGATAAAATACAGTAACATCAGTAATAATGTAAAATATTAGTTCAATTTAAAAATGGTTTTCCATTTTATTTTTTGAAATATAGTTGTAATATATTTTATACAATATAATCTCATGCAAAGCTTCAGTGTCACTTCTTCCTTTAGAAGTCATTCCAATATGTTGATTTTGTGCTCTTATGTATTATCTGTAGGGCTGGGTAAAAAATATAGATATCTCGATTTTAATCGATTCACATTTTTACGAAACAATATCGATTCTTAAATCCCAAGAATCGATTAGTCTAGCCTGTGTTCAGTTAATGAATCGAATCGCAAACTTGTGAATGAGAATCTAATCGAATCGTGAAATTTGTGTCAAAACCCAGCCCTAATTATCGGTGTTGAAAATAGTTGTGCTTTATTTTTGTACAGGAATTTTGGATTAATGGAAAGTAAAAAAAACTGCATTTATTTGAAATAGAAATCTTTTATAACATCATAAATGTCAATTGAAGAAACCCTTATGAAAAGTATTGTGATTATTTTAATTTTACTGACCCCAAACTTTGCATTGGACAAATGGGTCTTGTTAAATTAATACATGTAAATAGAAAACAATGAAGCAGCTAATGTAGACCTTATGGAGCACTGTGTTCCACTCTTTTCATGATTAAAATTGTAATTGCAATCTTGATTATTTTTTCAATTAATGGTGCTGCCCAACAAGGGACCAAAACCTCATGGCGACGCTTCTGGCAGTTTAAATGACACAGAGGTAGAAGCTCATGTGTGTGGTCGGATCCAAAGGCTGCAAGACAACAACACCTCTGTGGAAACAGCACACCGCTGAGTTGGACCGCTATTGTGTGAACCCCAGTGGTGCATCAGACTTGTGGTGGTCTTGTTTTTGAGCTGCAACACCGCGATGGGTTGTTTGGAGGCTGCCAAGTGTCCTTGCTGTCTTTTCTTCACCCGCTTGTGTTTGTTTCCTGACTTTGCGGTGGAGCCTATGTACGCATTTGTCTGTGTATGTAGTCTGCATTGTTGTGAGCTCCACAAGTGTTGGGTTTGATTATGGACATTTACAGCTGCTAAACCTTTCATAACACTGCTGTGTCTCATTACGTTTCACATTTTCTTTGTTTTGTCCAGGAAACCCTTTTGATCTTGTTGTGTTAAATAGCACTCCACTTGACAGCTTAATTGCAGTGTGAATTGCAGCATGCAGCGTACGGTTCGATCCCGCTGTACGGAATGTTATTTCCAGATCGTTCTAGTTACGAGGACATTCCAACTACGTTTACAGGGCTGACTGGTTTGTTTTGTCTTGTGCATCTTGCTTGCGCACTCTCCCATTGTCATTCTGTCACTGCTTCTTGTTTTTTATCCATTGTCTTGCTTTCAGTCAAAACAATGAGGGGTGGAGAAGCGTTTTGCGGCTGCCTCGTTTATCAAGCGCTCCTCAGATCTTCTGTAATAATGGCACACTGACTGTGTCAGCTGTAATGATATCTTGACTGTAACTATGATAATAGTCTTTCCTGCAAGTACTGGTGCGTTAAACGTGTAAGGTGTAAACGTGTAACGCTTTTTTTCCCCTTAAGGTTAGGAGAGAGATGCAGCATTCTTGTGCTGAAGGGCCTAATTAGGGCTGAAATTTTATTGTACATAACTCTGTTGAAGCTCTATGAAAACGTATGGACGTATTAAGATCTCTGACCTCTACTTCACAAGTTACTCTTAAGTATGACTTGTGTGGGTTGAGTTTTGGTCATCTTTTGATAGAAGCATATGTGGGTTTTATTTTGGCAGTCTCTGACTTTTGTGAGACATCTGTGTGGTTTGTGTGCAAAAACATGAAACACATTTAAGAGTAAATTTCCATGTCTGGCTCCAGTCGTTCCCTTCAATTTGTAAACAGAAAACAAATTGAATGAATATGTGATCTCAGAGTGGTAAACAGATATGATCACCCAGATAGACGTGCTGTTTCAAGTTTTTTTTTAAAATATCTGATAATTGCTGAAGTTGTTATCATGGTATGCAGTGTTATGGGGATATTGTATTACATTACAAAACGGGTTTAAATACAGCATTTTTTTTGCACATAATATAGTTTTAGTTATTTTCTTTTAAATGAAAAGATCATGAAGAGAGTTCCAAAATTTCAAAAAGAACACTGAACATAAGAAACTAAATGACCATTTAAATAAGAGCACAGAAATAAATAAAAAAAATGAAACATTAAATATTTTAATATTTGAAAATAAATATAAAGTGAAATGGAAGCTCAAAAGTGCGGGATTGATGTGTGAAAACCAATGAGATTTGTTCTTGTGTGTCACGAAAACATGTTTGAGCTTCCGCAGGAACTAGTGAGGTTTGTTCTGACGTGTCAAGCAAGTCCGTTTATCAAATTAGGCCCTAGATGTGCATTAGTCAATATTTTTATGTTAAAAAAATCTAGTTATCATACAAAGCACTTGTGTTTTAGAAGGACTTGCAAGAAACAGCTCAATATGGATTACTTTTACATTGTCTTTACAAACCTTTTGAAGCTTGAATATATTTTTAAGGAATGGACTTTACGTGGAGGGGCTAAAGTATATTAGCTTTCATTTAAAAATATCTTCATTTGTGTTTTGAAGATTAACGAATGTCTTCTGGTTTTGAAGTAACATGAGAGTAATTGAGGACAGAATTTCCGCTTCTGGGTAAAACATTGAGGTCATTTTTTAGGTTTACACAAAGAGTGTAAACACTCAACACATTTTGAAGTAGTCTGACATGTTCTGGCTCAACAAATGACGTGGATTTTGGGGTGGGACTACCTGTAATAAACCGCTTAGCTGGGAATTGACTAGCTTTTTCAGATAACATAGTAAAGGGAATAACCACAAGGAGGATTGCAAGAAAACTCTTGGGATACTGTACAGATGCTGAGCTCCATCTTGACAGGTAAGCTTGGATAGTTCCCAAATTCTGCTAACATCCTCTTTTTAGGCTGCACAACCAACTTTTCCCCAGTCTTCTGATAGTTGTTGTTAAAATCTGGGTCCCGAGTTTCATTTGTACAGAGAATTCAGCAAGAATGATTTCTCAGCTGCCGCTGGTAACATTTCTATGCCACTTTAATAAGAAAACATCCTTAGAATAAAAACATCAAGAGTACAGAGTCGTGCACATGCAGCGGCACACTAGAGAGATCACTGTCAATGCAACTCTTGCAGAAGTGGAGTCAGTTAATATTTGCATTTAGCATTTGGAATTCAGATAAGCTTAAAATGATTTCCTTGTGTGGTTTGGCATGTTTGTTCTTAGCTGCTTTGGTCCTGAGTCAGGTGCTTTGTTAGTGTGTGTACGTTTCTTCTAGTGTTCTGTCTGTTCTCCTTGACAGCGCTGACTCAAAGGAGGCCACAGTATAATAATAGCAGCAGCGAGGGAAAGAAAAAAGCGGAAGGAGAGCTGCAAAAACCGTGGCAACGGCGTGGGCTGGCGGAGACAGAATTATGGCAATATGGCTGTTTTTCCTTCTCTTTTTCCCTTATAGTGGTGCTGCCATTTTTTCAGCGGACCACATCACAGACGCAAAGGGAGGGAAGTCTATATAGAGAATGTAAACACTGCACAGGAAGTGGGAAACATTATATTTATGTCGTTCCTTGGATGCATCCCTTTGTACCTTCTATTGCAAACCTACTAAACCTTTATTGCAGTTGTTCATTGCAAAAGTCTGTAAAGCGCATGCTTAACTGGTACAAAAGTTTGTCAGAATCTTTGTTCGTAATTCAATGTCTATAAACTGATCAACGTCCCTTTCAAGGCAAGTCAGTTCACTCAGCGGCCATCTTGGGAACGCATTCAGTTAGCTATTTCCAGTCATGCAAGTACAGTTCAGATTGAATTAAAACCCTTTTTAGGGTTGTGTCGATAGACGATTGTATCGTGTATCGACAATAGTCAGAAATATCGCCTGTGGCTGATGCCTTTGACGATAGCAAGATGATTATTATTATAATTATTAATTTTATTATTATTATTATTATTATTATCAGGATAGTAATACTATCTAATTAATATTAGGGCTTATTTGTTGCATTATTTCTTTTTCCGCGTTTCTACAGTGTTGCACGTTATTATAACCAGTCACACACTATTATGCTGAGCTTATGAATGCAATGGCCAATCAGAGGTGGGATACTGTACAGATGCTGAGCTCCATCTTGACAGGTAAGCTTGGATAGTTCCCAAATTCTGCTAACATCCTCTTTTTAGGCTGCACAACCAACTTTTCCCCAGTCTGCTGATAGTTGTTGTTAAAATCTGGGTCCCGAGTTTCATTTGTACAGAGAATTCAGCAAGAATGATTTCTCAGCTGCCGCTGGTAACATTTCTATGCCACTTTAATAAGAAAACATCCTTAGAATAAAAACATCAAGAGTACAGAGTCGTGCACATGCAGCGGCACACTAGAGAGATCACTGTCAATGCAACTCTTGCAGAAGTGGAGTCAGTTAATATTTGCATTTAGCATTTGGAATTCAGATAAGCTTAAAATGATTTCCTTGTGTGGTTTGGCATGTTTGTTCTTAGCTGCTTTGGTCCTGAGTCAGGTGCTTTGTTAGTGTGTGTACGTTTCTTCTAGTGTTCTGTCTGTTCTCCTTGACAGCGCTGACTCAAAGGAGGCCACAGTATAATAATAGCAGCAGCGAGGGAAAGAAAAAAGCGGAAGGAGAGCTGCAAAAACCGTGGCAACGGCGTGGGCTGGCGGAGACAGAATTATGGCAATATGGCTGTTTTTCCTTCTCTTTTTCCCTTATAGTGGTGCTGCCATTTTTTCAGCGGACCACATCACAGACGCAAAGGGAGGGAAGTCTATATAGAGAATGTAAACACTGCACAGGAAGTGGGAAACATTATATTTATGTCGTTCCTTGGATGCATCCCTTTGTACCTTCTATTGCAAACCTACTAAACCTTTATTGCAGTTGTTCATTGCAAAAGTCTGTAAAGCGCATGCTTAACTGGTACAAAAGTTTGTCAGAATCTTTGTTCGTAATTCAATGTCTATAAACTGATCAACGTCCCTTTCAAGGCAAGTCAGTTCACTCAGCGGCCATCTTGGGAACGCATTCAGTTAGCTATTTCCAGTCATGCAAGTACAGTTCAGATTGAATTAAAACCCTTTTTAGGGTTGTGTCGATAGACGATTGTATCGTGTATCGACAATAGTCAGAAATATCGCCTGTGGCTGATGCCTTTGACGATAGCAAGATGATTATTATTATAATTATTAATTTTATTATTATTATTATTATTATTATCAGGATAGTAATACTATCTAATTAATATTAGGGCTTATTTGTTGCATTATTTCTTTTTCCGCGTTTCTACAGTGTTGCACGTTATTATAACCAGTCACACACTATTATGCTGAGCTTATGAATGCAATGGCCAATCAGAGGTGTTCAGATGAGTCATCACTGAAACAGCAGAGTTCTGTTGTTCGGCGCACGCTGACTGAATTCTGACTCGCGAATTCTCTCATCATAAACAACAAAGTGCAGATGTACGTGCGATGTAAGTAACCTATAAGAGATTTATTCATCACAGTGTAGATTCACTAATTATAACGGGAGCGTTTTTAAAGTGCATAAACTCACGCTAGACTTAGCTTGTGATGATGTTCTTTGGTAATGTAATGTTCTTCGCTCGTTTTCTGTAGCTGCTTTTTGAATAACTGAGAAAATGTAAGCATTATATTTAGTAACTTACGATGTTTCTATTAATTTGTTATCATGTTAAATACCCATTCAGTCATATAAAAAATATTAGGCTGCTTTTAGCCTTACGCTGGAGTTGGTTCACTTTCCGGCAATGAAACTAAGTAAATAAATAATTTAATAAATTAGCACGATAATATTGCGTATCGGCGATCTCACAGACTGATGATAGGACGATATGAAAATTGAGCATATCGCCCAACACTAGTTCTTTTATTATTGGCGATTGGTTCTTTTAATTGGAAGGTGGGAGTATTGAAAGATATTGTAAACTAGAGCATTCTAATTTCTCCCATTCATTGTAACACCAGCGACCCGTCTCAGCTACATACTGTCTGTGCTTTGGTCTGTGCAGCCTCCAAAAGGAGATTGTCTATAGATTGTCTAAAAATTGTCTATAGGTGCACAGCTGTATATATGTTTTGACCCACCAATAGAAATAGAATAAGTAGAGGCAATTCTGTGGCTTTCATTCTGTGTAACCACATCAGATCCTTGTTGGTTTCAGTTTCAGTTGGTTTCATCTTGCTTACTGTGGCTGTACATGTGATCTATTTAAAGCATAGATTATGTTGTGTCCCACGATTGTGACTCCTTGGTTTTTCTTCCTAAATGCATTATTAATTTATTCATGCGTGCACAGAACCAGCCTAAAATAAATAAAACCAGTGTTAAGCTCATCAACAAAATTACTGACACATTTTCACGCTTTTTGCATTTGCCAAAGATAAAAAAAATGCACCCTGATGATAATTAAATACATTTTAAAACACTATTTTAAACCGTTATCATGCTAGAATTTCAGGATGTTTTCATAAGAACAGTTTTAATGTATAATATAATGTTAAATGCATTAAAATGAATGAATGTGTACACAATTTTTAAGTAATGTTGAAAAATTTGATAGTTTGGTCTGTTACCTTTGAACACGTTTTTGTTATTTTGCATATTATTGGCAACTAATGTTATTTTTCATTGACTATTTCGTTGAAATTAAATAAACATGACTTAACAAAATAAAAGACTACATTTAAAGGAGATTTTGGTTATTTAAAGGGAAATATGGCAAAAATTAACACTGCAAGTCGGATCACAAAATATTGCATACATAATAAATTTACTTTCATGACATTTTGGTAATGCACAATAATGCATGCCACTTACCTTTGAGCAATACTTTTGTCTTGTGAATGTTTTTTTTTTTTTTTTCAGTTAACAGAATTATAAATAATAGATTTGAAAAGATGCCTGCAGAATTGTGTGAGTAGGCAGTGTGTTTATGTCCCTCTCAGTCCCACCCTATATGTTTGGCACAGGTACAAACACACCTTGTTCGGCTGTTTTTGGAATACTGCATTGATAAAGCCTGGGAGAGAACAGGCCGTGCTTCGGACAGACCGAGGCAGCCAGGACACAAAACACATGTTTAACTGTGCTACGCTGGATAATCTATCTACCACAATGTGGAAATATCACCCCTGCTTATTCCATCACTAACTTGCTGTGTCTTTTCTTTTCCAACCCTCTTCCTCTCTCTCTTCCTCTGTGTCATTTTGATGAAGAGCAGACACATTCTGCTAAACACTCTTATCTCCTGCTGTCTTTGCGGAGGTGACACCCTGAAACACAGTGTGAGGGAAATAGACTTTCCATTGTCACAGTATGTGTGGATACATTTAAAGCATGGAGCTTGCATGTTCACCTTATGTAGCTTGTAAAATCTAGGACACAGACTCAGCTTTTCTTCTGCTGTCTCAGCAAATGATGTGCACATGTGTGTAGGAGGTTTATGTTCATTAAGAATGTCTTACTGAGTCAGGAAACTTAGGAAGCCTGGTGCATTGCAGGAGACCATATGGTTGGTACTGAGGAAGTTGAATATAGATTGTTTTAGACAATCGATTTAAAAGTGATGGTCCGTTTGTAGTTTACAAATAATGGCAGAAACATCAGCTAAAATGAATATTCTGGGTTTAATACAATTTAACATGTTTGTTCGCTCAAAAATGAAAGTTCTGTTATCATTTACTCTCCCACATGTCGTTCCAAATCCATAAGACTTGCACTCATCTTCGGAAAATAAATGAAGATATATTTAATACTCTCCCTTAATTGTCTTCTGAAAAAACACAATGGTTTGTATGATGAACAGATTTAATTTAGGCTGTTATTCGCAGTATTTAAATAGAGTGATATGAAGCTTCAGTATTACCAGGTCTGTTTTACTTTGTCAGGTTGGGCCCATTTACTTCCATTTTTTTTTTTTTTAATCAACAATATGCCACAAGTACTGTCGACTGATCTGTTTTCTGCCAAGAATCAGCATTTGAACGGCTTTAGACGTCACGATCATGATCATACTGCCAAAGGGTCCTAGTGTGTCAATGAGAACTGGTTCAATTCGTGTGTGGCAGCATATTGATTCAGCCAAAGCAGTGACTTCAGCATGCAGGTCAATGAACTGGTACCACAGCGACACTGCTGCACTGGGAACACTGGGGAAAATGGAAACTTGAGGCCCCTCCTAGGAAACAGGAAGCAGCTGTAACAACATCCTGTTTCAGAGTGATGTCCAGGGAGCAGTGGCGCATGGCTGAGCCATCAGTAGCCCCAGTGCAGCCCAACAGAGGGGCAACAATGCAGCCCAGTGTGTTAGAGGTGCAGCGGGGGGCTGACGGACTGGATTTTTTCCATTTGCCCTGTTGGGGTCAATGACCAGCAGTCAGTTAAACATAGACGCATGATGCTGGAATACAATTATTTGCTGGTTTCTTTGTTAAAGATTAGGGTTGGGAATCGAAAATCAATTCCAATTCCTGTGTGCACATCCTTTATTTTTAGGTGGTGAAAAGGGGCTATTAAAAATGTACTTGTCTTTGAATCATTCATTCAAGAGATTCATTCAAAAACACTGATTCTACCAGTAATGAGACAAGTAAATCTTGAGTGAGTCCTTGAATCATTCCATTCATAAATTCCATGAGATTTTGTTTAGTTGTCTAATATTTTATTCTTCAGAATTGTGAGAGAACTACAAACTCCATTTTAAAAAAGTCTCAATTTATCCAGAATCTTGCAGCACTATTTTGCACACAAACGGCTCTTAATTGAGTCCAGTTTTTATGTAGCCAGCTGATTTTTGTTCATGGTATTCAGCAGCAATTTAATGTTTTGCTAAAAGACACACAAAGTAAATATGTTTGATATCTAAATGTTTGACTTTTGACATTGGAATCGAAACTGGGAATTGATAAGAATCGGAATCGATAAGCAGAATCGGAATCGATCAAATTCAAACGATACACAACCCTATTAAAGATGATAGTTGATAGTGGAAATTGGAGAGAAAGAGAATCTTAGTAATTTGAGGTAGTGTGGCGTGTGTCTCTTAGTGTGTGTGCTTTCACAAAAACTGCTGGGAAATGCGGCTTTGTGTTCACGAAGCTATTTTGGGAGCTGCAGTGAATGAGGAGATGAAACATGCTGTTCTCAGTGTCTGGAGGGAACGATGGAGTGAGGTGGGAATGAGATGAGAGAGCTTGAGATGAGGAGTGTAAAGTGACAGTGAAACGGAGGGAGGAGGGTGGTTCTCCAATAACCTCCATCAAATGATCAGAGTGTACTGTACAGCAGTAAGTTTCTGGCAGCATTCAGAGCTAAGTGAATTGAACTGAGGCTCCACAGAACACTGACTCCACATGCACTTACTGTAGCTGCCTCTCACTGTGTTCTTTATAACAGCCTCGAACCAACCGGGCAAGCCTTATGTGTGCCTTTTTGTCTGAGGCAGTTCCTCATTTTCAATTCTAATATGGCCCGTCTTGACCTGAACTTGTGTTAGCATTTTACTTTGCAGTTTCATATTGAATCAGACAGATGCAGACTAGTGTTAAGCTCAAAAAGCACACCCTCAACTGTGAGACAGTCTCTTAAAGATCTTAAAGGAATAGTTCACCTAAAAATGACAATTCTGTCATTTATTCATGTCCTTCCAAAACTTTCTTCTGTGGAACATCTAAGAAGATATATTTTTTTTAAATATCAAAGTTTTTGTCCGTACCGTGAGATGGATTCCAATGTAATTTGACTTTTAAAAGTGTGATCCCATTTACCGCTATTCAGCTAATTTCCTTCAAGAGTCATTTACTCATGAAATAGGCTACACTGGTCACACCATAGTTTCATTTCTTTTTTCTTTTGTGCAGCTTAAAAGAACAACTCAATAGTAAGACATGTTCTTGTCAATATTTTGCTGTACACTAACTGCAAACTTAAATTCATGCTGGAAAGCACCCTAATGCATATTGCACATATAAATGGCAAGAGCTTTTGCCAAGCTCCAATCTGACGACCTCTTCCTGTTCTTAATTAGGCCAGTTCTTAGACAGAATAAGCTGCAAAATGCATCAGACTTTGATGACTGTCAAGATTTTGACTCTAGATGAATATAGATGAGACCTGATATAATCAAGCAACTCGGATCTCATACCAGACGTCTCACGAATTACACACTCTCACTGTTCTGCAGGAGAGGAAAAGCCGCTTCGTGACAGAGAGAGATTTACATCCTGACCGAATGATGATGGATGTCCTTGGGAGTTGTGACTTGCGCCTTTGAGCGCTGTGTAATGGTTGATTGTTGCCAAGCATACCCGACACATTCATTATTGCGCTTTGTGTGTTAGTTCCGCTTTCATAAATCCTAATTGAATCTTTGATGGAGCCTCATGGTGTCGATTTTGGACTGGTGTTGGCCTAGTTCTCCAAGTCCCCTCAGGATGCTTACATTGGGTGTGTGGGATTTGAATGATTCAGGAGACTCTAAAAGCTGCAAGTTCTTAAAATGAGGGTGAATCCTAAGGACAAAAGCTGAGCAGAATAAAAGGACCTGATCTGGGTCAGGCCATCACAGACACCATAACACTGACCCTGGTAACATTATGCAGAATTATTGTAAATTGAGGGACTTCCTGTAAATGTCCTTCTAATTTCGCTATTCTGTTTTTTCCATCACGTCGTCATTTTCTGCCCGACACAGAGTGGGTGGTGGAAGTGTGCTTCTGAAATCGGTCAGCTCACAGCGAGGGGGTGGAGGGTCCAGGCAGGTCATGGGAAACTGGCTGCAAAGAATCAACGCTGAAATGACTCTTACTCTACATACACATATAAACAAATGCATAAGAGCATTTAAATAAGACACATGAGCTTCCCACGGGGCACACAGACACCCCTCATGTCCTCCTAGACTTTCAGTGACTTTAAAGTGACAACATGATTGTCGTATTTGTGAAGTAACTGTGTTTACTACACATTCAAATGCAGATGAGGTTCACTTGCCAGAATTATTTCAGCTAGAGGTATCCCAGATTGACAATGAAATTCAAGATATGCTACAAAAATTAGCATTTTAGGACAATAAAAAGTTAATTAACTATCATTTTAAATTTTTAAATGTTTTTTAATGTTAATGTAAAATATACAATGTATCAAAAAATATAGGCTATTTATTTTATTTTTAGGCTACAGTATATATTTCATTGTAGTTTGGATTGTTTTTTCCAGTTATGTTTTGCATTGCCCGTCTTTTTTTTTGTTTTTTTTTGTAGGTTTTATTAAAGATAATGCTTAATAGTGATTGAAATATGAGTTTTTCATTGCCTGATGATGATATAGGCTAATTCTAATATATGTGACCCTGGACCACAAAACCAGTCATAAGTAGCACGGGTATATTTGTAGCAATAGCCAACAATACATTGTATAGGTCAAAATTATCGATTTTTCTATTATGCCAAAAATCATTAGGATATTAAGTAAAGATCATGTTCCATTAAGATATGTTGTAAATTTCCTACCGTAAATATATCAAAACTTAATTTTTGATTAGTAATATGCATTGCTAAGGACTTCATTTAGACAACTTTAAAGGCGATTTTCTCAGTATTTTGATTTTTTTGCACCCTCAGATTCCAGATTTTCAAATAGCTGTATCTCGGCCAAATATCGTCATATCCTAACAAACCATGTGTAAATCTCAATTAATAAAAATTGACCCTTATGACTGGTTTTGTGGTCCAGGGTCACATATGCTTAATACAATTCAGTGTTAGTACATGAGACAACATGAAAATGCTGACATGAAAATAAATCCTGTTTACCTAAAACACATACTCAAATTTCACAAAAAAAACTGGAGACCGAAATAGTTTACTATCCATTGACAAAGTCAGGTCACGTTTATATAGCACTTTATATTATACAGATTGTTTCAAAGTAGCTTTGCACTAATAAACAGGAACATAAGTGTTAATGTTGTAAAATTCATTAATTATGAAAAAAATTACATTTCAGCTATACAGAAGACAATTGTGTCTTTATTCAGCTCAATTCAGTTCAATATTGTTGACAATTCAGATGAATAAGTGTCAATTGTGCAAATGTGATCAGAAATATGTTCAATTCATCTACTTTATAAGCAGCTCTTCAGAAGGCAGTAGTTTCATTTTCTATTCTTATTCAGCTTAAGTCAGTTCAAAGCTGGCAGTAAAATTTGCAACTGAAAAAGAAGGAAGATAAATACTTCTGTTAATTGGCTAAGCAGACATGGCTATCGACCAGTAATCTCAAATACTGCATTTTACGCTGCAGGTCTTGATGCCTAATTATCTGCATTTACACTATACACTTGGTAAAACAATCCAAGGTAGACATACTGACCTGGAAAAGCATCCATATGAGTTAACGTCATTTGCCACCCTTGCTTTTTCAATGATGTATGTCTCTCATTGACAGGGGAATATATCTGATCTGTCTGCTTACATGGCAGATGCCAATGCATGTATCTTGATTCATATTAGATTTATTTCCACATATAAATAATGCCTGAAACCGATCTGATAATGTCGGCATCCATGTGCTTTTTTTTTTCCTGCTTACACATTGTGGGTCATATCCAATCTGTCACACGGGAGGAAAAAAAATTGTTGACACTTGAACCATGTAATGTAAAGATGACTAAATATTGACAGAATTGCCTTGGCCTAATGCTAGGTCTATCACTCCCTGTAGCTGAGCCATGATTTTTTATTTTATTTTTTTTACCGCAAAAATTCAACTTACAAGTTGAAATCAACTGGGTGCTCATCAAAGCAAAAATTGTCAGTTTGGAGCCAATCATTCAGACATTGAAATCCAGACATGCATGCATTCTCATGAGAAGCAGGCTCTGCATTGTCTCTCCTCAGAGTTGCGGATGAAGAGCATGTATAATGACTGGGTGTTAAGTTTCATCTTTACTGCCTTCATTTTTAATAGATAAAATAAAGGCTGCTGTCACACAGTATTCATGGTTATTGAGCTCTCTATAAACACAAATATCAAGAAACTTTCTTTTTTTTTTTTTACGATTTTCTGCAAGGATACCTTGTTTATCCTGCCAACGTTTGAGATGGAGATTTCTTTTAGAGAATTGTACTAAAGTATAATAGTAGCTTCAGACTAAAGCTCTTGCAATGTCTTTCATCACTGTTTTTATCGAGGTTGCAGTTTTATAATCGAGCATGCTATCGACTTTCATAATGAAAAATAATCCAGCAAGTCTATTTCATTTGAAGAGGTGAAGCAAGATTGACTAGGGCTTTGGCTGTAATGGTTCATTACCGATCTGTCACTCTCATCATGTCTCCTGTGATGTTACAGATTGTCATTTTGAATGAGTCGCAGTATCACAGACAGCTGTCATAGTGCTGTGTTGATTGGTTCCATCTGCGCATGGAACGCCTAATAGAGAAAAGAGATCAGAGGTCTCAAATAAATCAGGTTTCTCCAAACAATATGATTTATATGTGATTACAGCATCAGTTGTTCAGTCAATCCTTCTTTTTTTCTTTAATACCCTGTCGGATTTCATATATGCTTTCTATGTGGGTAGCAGATTGTGTTAACCTTCCTCAGATCTCAGACACTGTGGCCTTTTCAGGGTCGCCACATGGAATATATGAAGCAACCCCCCAAAGGCTCTTCCACTATTCTTCATCTGCTAGCCTTTTCAAAAAGTGGCAGTGGAGGCAATCCCCAAGGGTTATGCATATAGGCTATGTTAGCATTAGCGTGTGTTTAGTATGGGTCTCTTGAGAAATTATAGACTGTTGTTATCTGACATCAGTGAGCAGAAGATGGAAGCAAAGCATGCATTGGTTTGTGAATGGAGATGGACACAATAAAGAATAAAGCAGTGTCCCAAAATCTAATACGTTTCCTACCTAAACAACATTTAAGATACCATATGCACACTCTCAGTGTAAAAAGTGTTTCTAAAAGTAAGCTGCTTTGTTTGGGCCAAATTGTGGATAAGGCAAATCAGACAATATGGTGGATGGGTTTAGACAAATATATTGTAAATATGCTTATTTCATCAAATACCTAAAAGTTTTGATATAATGCAGCCTATTTTATAATATTTTACACAATATTTGTGTATACAGTGTGTTTTTACACTGATGAGATGCTTTATGCTGATTGTGATACGTATTTGTGTACTAATTAATAACATTGATTGCGTAGCAATATACTTGAGTCAGCCTTTCTGACTCCAAATCTAAATTGACATGACTTTACCAATTGTTGTGATTTTTCTGGATAAGGATTAAGGATGAGAATGTATGTTTTTATAATTCTTGCCCAATAAAATACTTTAGAGCTAATATTTAAGATTCTATTAATTTACATAACTTTTTCAGGTCTGGAAATTTTACTCAAAATTAGGCTTCCTCATAAATACAGTTTTCTGGAGGGCCGTTTGTGTGGTGCTCAGAGTTTCAGCCTATGAAGATTGTCCAAATTAGTTATAAATGAGCTTCCATTTCATTGAAGGTGCTGTCTTAAGGCTGGTACACATTACATGAATTTTGCCTATATCTTTGCCCCAGCTTGCAGGCTGGAGGTGTCATCGATTGTTGCTGAAAGACAAAGTTGGAGTTCGCAGTTGGATTTGACCGATTGCACAGAAAATCCTCCGTTCATAATTTCTTTTAGTCAATATTACACATTTTTGTTTGTCATGCATCTCCAAGCAGTGTTGCACGTTATTGCAAAAGTTTATGTTTGGAGTGACTCCAAATATCTGGTACGGTGTGTTTTTCCTCTGTAACTATATATGATGTCTGCAAGTGCACAATGCCATGTGTTTTATAATTGGTTCAGATCTTAGAAGTCATGTAGTGTATTCCAGTCTTTAGAAGACACAAGACAGCTGTCTACATTTGCTCATTTGGCCGACCGTGCTCTTATTCAAATTGACTTGCATTGCATTCAATATAAACATTTTATTTGTTCATCCATTCCCTAAGAATCAAACTCGTGACTTTGGCGTTGCTAACGCCATGCTCTACTGTTATCTAGCATTGTATCTAACATTGATCGTCATGGGCATTTTCTTATAGAGCATGATGTAAAGTGAAAGTGAAAATGACATGACATGTGGCCAAGTATGGTGACCCATACTTGGAATTAGTGCTCTGCATTTAACCCATCCAAAGTGCACACACACAGCAGTGAACACACACACACCGTGAACACACACCCGGAGCAGTGGGCAGCCATTTTTGCTGCGGCGCCCGGGGAGCAGTTGGGGGTTCGGTGCCTTGCTCAAGGGCACCTCAGTCGTGGTATTGAAGGTGGAAGAGAGCGCTGTACATTCACTCCCCCCACCTACAATTCCTGCCGGTACGAGACTCGAACCCGCAACCTTTGGGTTACGAGTCCGACTCTCTAACCATTAGGCCACGACTTCCCCCGAGTTGTTAAACATAACAACTCTTCTGGAATCATGGATTTGCAGGCTTAGGCTATTTGCTGCTATCCTCTGAGCGTTTGAGCCCACAGTGCACACCTGCAGCCACTATTGTTCTATTGTAATGTGAAACGTGTTGTGCAGCTGAGCGTGGGGGCCGTGTAGGCACTGTGGGCTCTAATTAACACATATTTGATCGTTGGCACTGCTGAAAAGACCTAAAATGAACACAGACATGTTTTGTTCTGTAGTGTAGTTTTAGAGTTGTATTTTAACATTTTGTATTTAACATTCCATTTTGGGTCTGTTTGACTGTGTCTTTTCCTCTGCTGTGTGTATTGATCAGTGAACCACTCATCTAGAACTGTTCTGTAAATAAGACTGAACTGAAGGGCATGACCACATTTATAATGATCTCTCTCTTTCTCTGTTACAGATGCCTTTGTCAACAGTCAGGAGTGGACACTCAGTCGCTCCGTACCAGAGCTCAAAGTGGTGAGTCCTGTCACTGATGTTTCAAATTTGCCATTTTTATCATAACTAATACAAGATTTAATTTGCATCATTTAATTACTTAAATTAGTGTAGCATGCTCGTGACCTCAACAAAACCGCTTTGATCAGGCTGTGTCCTCTTTAAATTGGCCTGAATACGCTGAATTCTCTGTTTCTTGTCCTGTGGAAAGTTAATTTGAAATGAAAAATAAACTCACTTTTTACACTCTCACTGCTTTATTTGTTGGTCCCCTAATAATGACATTTGTGTCATTTGACAGCGTCATTTCCTCCAACTCAAATTATTTCTTGTTTGATAGCATTCTGTGATTAAATTATTGCATGTGAAAATTACATCGTACAGTTTTAAAATTAAATGACTGACTTGTCATGCTAACGTATATTAATGCATGGATATAATTTGTTTAATCCAAAATAATAATAAAGAAAATGAAACAATATTTTAATATATTTAGCATAATTTAACACAATTACAGTTTGTTTAACACAAGTGCAGAACTCTTTCTTTAGAATTCTTTAAATGTAATTATTAGTAATAATGAATTTTATCATTTTAATTTCATTTCATAGTTCTTTAATCATTTCGAATTAACTTTAAAAGTTTCAAACTGAAGTCTGGGTCTATGACAAGTAAAAATCAATAACATGATCAAAATGATCTTTAAATACCTTTTTTTTTTATTTTTTTTTTAATAAAAATCAAACCCTGGGACTTAAAAATACCCACAGTTAAAAAGACACCGTTTTACTGTACTGATAGTACTCCATACTCAGCAAAGGTTATAAAATAATTTTAATAATCTGTGTGTGTGCAGCATGATCTCCTATCTCTCTCTCTCTCTCTCTCTCTCTCTCTCTCTCTCTCTCTCTGTGTGTATGTGTGTGCGTCACTGAAAGCAGCACATTAATATAGAACAGTGATTAATCTGACTTGGAACTACCTGTGCATTATATGGTTTTAATGCATACCTGCCAGGCAATCAGAATCAAGTATTCAGACAGACCATGGTATAATAGGACTTGCTTCAGGTCTAAGCTGAGACACTGTTTATTTACATGCCAAAATATCATGTAAGGGACCCCTATTCATTCTGTGTGTGTATTTGTGTGTGCAGGGCATTGTGGGTAACTTGGCCAGTGGGAAGTCTGCCCTGGTGCACAGGTATCTGACAGGGACGTACGTGCAAGAAGAGAGCCCTGAAGGTAGGTGTTTTGCTATCAGATATGCAGGTGAAATTTGGAGAATCATTAAAAGCCTTTGTACTTTTATATCTATCACTGTCTTTGTCTTTAACAGTTTATATTTCTCACTTTAATGCTTTTGAAAGGCTTTACAATGGCATATGTGTGTCCTTCTGTTCTTAGATCCCGTTTAAGTCTTGAAGTTATGTGTAAATACAATTAGTATTCCTCTCTTTTCAGTATTGCTGAGGCATAGCCTAGATACTCTTCTTATTTTTCTCTCCTTCTCTTATTCTTTCTCTCTCTCTCTCTCCGCACACCTGCTGTTAGTATGTTAGTATGGTACAGTTGTGCCAGAGGACTCTGCTATACTCCCCATGTATAATTGAGAACATTCAAGGCACACCGCCAGACCACCACAATATGCTCTCTTCCCCAAGCACGGATCTGCTTTCAAAAGCTCCCCGTGTCAATGTTTCATGTCCTTTATAACTGTTATTATGTAGTCATGTTAAACTGGCCTTTCAGATGGCTCCCTCACGGAGCAGAGTTTGTAAATTTTAGGGCTTTTCTTTAAAGATCGTAATTAGTTTAAGCAACATTTAGTACAATTGTGCTTAACTGCAGTAATCTGAGTGCCTGGGGGTCCCGCAGAAGCATGAGGTCACAGAAGCAAGGCACTAATCATGTCTCGTCCTCTCCTTTGCACTTTACCGTATAAAACTCGAGCCACTGCATAGCAGCGGTCAACCAGGAAATCGCCCTGCAAGAAAAAAAAATCCCCCAGAAATGTCAATTGCCTGTTTGCCGCAGTGGATTATAGCACAGAGTGCCAAAGGAAACTTAGCGCGACATCAGAGACCGTTGAAGTGTGTGCCTTGCTAAGCTCAAGCGACACGGTTAAATCTTTCACGTTTGAGGCCAGCACGTCATCTGATGATAGAAGTGCCGCAAAACTCAGATTTGCAGTGGCGTTACATCACATTTCAGCTACAGAAAGCTGTGATTTGAATTTCCAAATTTACATTCCAATAAAACTACCGCATAAAAAAGTTTTCCTACTTTTCTTTTTTTGAAGTTTCACTATTCTGGGTTTAAAAATAGTGTTTCCTAGCTTTGGTAGAGTGACCCCAACCTCAAAACCACTAAGTAGGGCTGGAGCAGATTTTTACAGCGCACTCTGCAATGAAAGCAGTCGGGTTTTGCACCGTCCCCCCTTGTATCACACACACTACATGAATAGACACATTCTCAGAGCTCTACAAAAAAAAAAAAAACACTTAGTTTTAATAAAAATCAAACCCTGGGACTTAAAAATACCCACAGTTAAAAAGACACCGTTTTACTGTACTGATAGTACTCCATACTCAGCAAAGGTTATAAAATAATTTTAATAATCTGTGTGTGTGCAGCATGATCTCCTATCTCTCTCTCTCTCTCTCTCTCTCTCTCTCTCTCTCTCTCTCTGTGTGTATGTGTGTGCGTCACTGAAAGCAGCACATTAATATAGAACAGTGATTAATCTGACTTGGAACTACCTGTGCATTATATGGTTTTAATGCATACCTGCCAGGCAATCAGAATCAAGTATTCAGACAGACCATGGTATAATAGGACTTGCTTCAGGTCTAAGCTGAGACACTGTTTATTTACATGCCAAAATATCATGTAAGGGACCCCTATTCATTCTGTGTGTGTATTTGTGTGTGCAGGGCATTGTGGGTAACTTGGCCAGTGGGAAGTCTGCCCTGGTGCACAGGTATCTGACAGGGACGTACGTGCAAGAAGAGAGCCCTGAAGGTAGGTGTTTTGCTATCAGATATGCAGGTGAAATTTGGAGAATCATTAAAAGCCTTTGTACTTTTATATCTATCACTGTCTTTGTCTTTAACAGTTTATATTTCTCACTTTAATGCTTTTGAAAGGCTTTACAATGGCATATGTGTGTCCTTCTGTTCTTAGATCCCGTTTAAGTCTTGAAGTTATGTGTAAATACAATTAGTATTCCTCTCTTTTCAGTATTGCTGAGGCATAGCCTAGATACTCTTCTTATTTTTCTCTCCTTCTCTTATTCTTTCTCTCTCTCTCTCTCCGCACACCTGCTGTTAGTATGTTAATACAGTACAGTTGTGCCGGAGTATCCCCATGTATAATTGAGAACATTCAAGGCACACCGCCAGACCACCACAATATGCTCTCTTCCCCAAGCACGGATCTGCTTTCAAAAGCTCCCCGTGTCAGTGTTTCATGTCCTTTATAACTGTTATTATGTAGTCATGTTAAACTGGCCTTTCAGATGGCTCCCTCACGGAGCAGAGTTTGTAAATTTTAGGGCTTTTCTTTAAAGATCGTAATTAGTTTAAGCAACATTTAGTACAATTGTGCTTAACTGCAGTAATCTGAGTGCCTGGGGGTCCCGCAGAAGCATGAGGTCACAGAAGCAAGGCACTAATCATGTCTCGTCCTCTCCTTTGCACTTTACCGTATAAAACTCGAGCCACTGCATAGCAGCGGTCAACCAGGAAATCGCCCTGCAAGAAAAAAAAATCCCCCAGAAATGTCAATTGCCTGTTTGCCGCAGTGGATTATAGCACAGAGTGCCAAAGGAAACTTAGCGCGACATCAGAGACCGTTGAAGTGTGTGCCTTGCTAAGCTCAAACGACACGGTTAAATCTTTCACGTTTGAGGCCAGCACGTCATCTGATGATAGAAGTGCCGCAAAACTCAGATTTGCAGTGGCGTTACATCACATTTCAGCTACAGAAAGCTGTGATTTGAATTTCCAAATTTACATTCCAATAAAACTACCGCATAAAAAAGTTTTCCTACTTTTCTTTTTTTGAAGTTTCACTATTCTGGGTTTAAAAATAGTGTTTCCTAGCTTTGGTAGAGTGACCCCAACCTCAAAACCACTAAGTAGGGCTGGAGCAGATTTTTACAGCGCACTCTGCAATGAAAGCAGTCGGGTTTTGCACCGTCCCCCCTTGTATCACACACACTACATGAATAGACACATTCTCAGAGCTCATTAAGAGATATTATCACAAGGCCAACTGTGTGACTGCATGTGTATGTTTACACAAGAAGAAAGAAAAATCCCTACAGGCCTTGTGGTCTCAATACAGCCCCAGCCTTTACCTTTTCAAAACCCAGCACCCCATATGGGTAACTAACGCAGTTTTTTGCTTATGCCGCCACAATCATGTTTGATTTAGAAATGCGGCTCTGCTGGGATCAGCAGTTTGGTGCAATTGTGCAGACCAGTCCCTCTGGTGTGAAAAATAACACTTTTATCAATGTGAAATATCAAATTTAGACTTTGAATCTTTTCCAAGTAAAATCTAGATAAACTAGTTGCAAACCGTGAAATCTAAATAAACTGGTTGACCATCGTGACCCATTTCTACTTCATATTTCCTATCTTTTTGTTAAACAGGCAAATAAGAATATTTAAAAATCTAGTTTAAAACATATGACAAATTCTTAGAGATCTTTGTATTCGTGTTGGTTTTAAAAAACGTCTTTACATTTAATTAGCTAATGTGTCACCACACACCACATGGCTTTAAATTGGTGCACAAAAGTATTTTTAATTATTAATAATGTTTTAACAAGATCGCTTCACTTTCACTTTTTTCTCAAAAAATAAATAAACAATAAAAGCATAAAAATAATAGATTTTGCCAAACTACTAATGTTTTTATTCAAGAATTATTAGTATTCATAATTTTTTTTCTTAATTATGGTGTATTATCCTAAAATGTATTTGGCTTTATGTCCTAAAACAAATATAAAAAT